AAAACGAAGCGAATCGGACGTATGCGATCACACCCTGACCGACGGATACAATGTTTCGCAATTAATTCGGGATTCGATACGGGTTTGGATTGACGCAAGGGTGAGGTGCGGTGCGGAGACGTGTTTCCGGGCATCGCATGCATGCATTTACGACCGCAGGAGGGCGGCTTTTAATGGCGAGCCGCGCATTCAAATATTCACATTCGATTGTTTCGTTCATTTCGATCCTCTCTCTCTCATTTTTCCTTCTTTTGTTTACCCCGTTTCGTTATTGTTTCGCGTCGCTGTTGCGCATTTTTTTTTTGCATTTTGTTTCATTGCGAACATGTTTCCATGTATCCATGGCAACTATGAGGTAATAGAGGTTGTAACGCATCGCGGAAACAAAAACACGAGGTGGAAGAACAACAACAACAACAGTAATGCAACGCGGCGTGGAATATGTAAACAGTTACCGTTTTCATCATCGATTTTATCGTTACGTAATTGCGACCTTACGTGTAAAGATAAACGCTGTTACAAACAAATAATTAATGCTGAGTGTATTGCATACTTCTCATTAATCAAATCGAAACGCCATCTACGAACGATAAGTGAACTAATCTTAATTTCAATACACCGTTGCTATATCTTATTTAATCTAACAAAGCCACGTTGCCAAAAAAATCATAATCCATATCTTACTTATTTTCATTTATAAATAGAAATATTGTTGTATTGTACTTGATAACTTAATACGTTTTGATCGTATTTAATCCGTAGTTAGTAGAGCATTGTGCAACTCGCTGACGGTTGCATAATTAATCGACTCGTTCGCCAATTGTTTGCGGCGCTTTCAAACTTGCATCGTATTATTATTATTAATAATGCTCGTATGTATTTAAGTGCGATTCACGAGCGATGTAATTAATACCCCGCTGAGAGCTTGATATTAACGATGCCGCAAAAGTGTATGCAACCAATTAGAGCTGGAATAACAAGAGGAAACAAAGAAAAGTATAATTGGTTGCTTAAAAAAAATTAATGCACAATTGGTTGTCTAAAATCTGTAACATTCTTAAAACTTACTTTAATCAATTTCAAATATTCATTCATTCGAAAATGAAATTGAGTTAGTTCAGTGTAGAAACGTGTGCCAATTTCACGGAAAATTGGCCACGAGTCTCGTAAATTCTTAATGCATTCACGAAAACCTTTCGCTGTATTTATATTTTCTCTTTTACGTCTGCTTCTTTGTTGCAGGAATTTCTTATCAGACTGCCGAGGACCTCAACACGAAACCCGCACACATCACATCACATCACCATCGTTCATGCACGTTCTCTAAGAAGAAGAAAAAACAAAATATATAAAAAACAGAAGACGACGTGTGTGACGTACGACGTTCACTTTTTTTTTGTTTTTTGTTTGTCTCATCGCGAGGACACGTATCATCATTATCAAACGACTGAGGACTGAGACAAATGAAGAATGGAGAACGAGGAGGAGGAGGAGGAGGAAGATGAAGAAAACAAGGCGAAAAACCAATCCACTCTAGTCATATTTTTGTAAAAAATATACATAATCATAACAAAACATACAAAAAAAAAATCGTCTCCGAGGAAAAAATAACCTATATATAATATTAATAATAATATAAATTACGTAATAAGTGTGAATGGGTAATAGGAAATGTGCGATTGTATAAATTAATTAGTAATTAATAATGAATGAGAAAGAAAATATATTGAGAATATAGAAATAAAACAAATGAAATCAAATGAGTGAAAGAAGAAAACAATAAACGACAATCGGAATAAATAAATTGACACATTGTATGGTACTAAAAAGAAAATGTATGCAACTAAACTTTCGCGTTGCTATGGAAACGTCTTTATAATTCGATTCGATAATAATTAGAGGAAGAGAGGATCGAAGGTAGTTTTGAAGATTCTGTTCTGTTCTTCTCGAAAAAAAAAAATGTTAAATGATATTTGTTTTTCGTTTCAATATACCTTTCTTACGTAATCGATTCTGTTGTTGTTGTTTAATTTTTTGTTTTTTTTTTTAATGGCAGCAAATAATCATTACCATAGTTACAGCATATGGTTAGGGGATTTAAAGGCTTAAGCTGAGTGTGTTGCCATGGAAACATCTAAAGGTAAAATCATTGTCTTGTTCATTGTATTTGTGGTGGAGGAGGAGGATGAGAATGGGGGGAATCTTATTAAGCCTTTCCAGGCATGAAACGACGTTATTAACGGGTTATTACATCAAATTTCATTAAGAAACGATCTAAGTATTAAAAAAAAATAATATTTTAAACTCTCGGGAGATTTTTTCACTGGTTTTTAGAAGAAAAAAAAAAGGTACTCAATTAAAAAGTTCATCGATCACTGGCTTTTGTTTCCTTGCATCCACCACGTCACTAAGTTACCTACTGTTACCAAGGCAACGCGATTTCCCGTGCGAGTAAACAAAAGCTGCTGCTGCTGTTTTTGTTTTCTTTATTTTGTTTCGTTACTTTTCCTCCCTTTTTTTTTCTATAACTTAATTCTTTGTTATTCCTGCATTGTATTTATTATTCAAGGCGAGTAAGAAAAGAATACAACAACAACAACAACAACAAAAATGTACGTTTTTGTGTCGGGGTGGAGAGGAAAAGTAAATAGAAGACGGATAAGTGTTTCAGAAAGTGAAAATTCTATACATAAACAGGGTAGGCCTATTCAAAACTTTTATATGTGATCATCCTATAAAAAAATAAACAAACAAAATTATATAACGAGATTCAATTCGCAGCAACATTTGCTCATGTTTCTAGATGTTATGACATAATTGACATTTTGACATTGACAGATGTCACCCGGAAATGTCACCAGTTGTTGCTCCGATGTGGATCGGCCTTTAGACGTGTAAGGTAGAAACTGTTACTATGAAATACTACTACTATTAATACTATTACTACTAATGTACGATTCTTTATATTTATGAAAAATAAACACGGCAATCGAATTTCCAACCAGAACAATGAGATCACGAGACTTATGTAAACAAATCGAGAATGTCGATGATTCAACGATAATCAATTGTGTTCGTTAACCTCCGAACAAAGAAGGTAAGTGATCCATTTTAGGGTTAGGTTTCGTCGAACGAACAAAGAGAGCGGTAAGTTGAAGATTCAATTGTTTTGGGGGGTTTATCATGCGCTTTTGTTTTCTCTCGAGAGTACGAACGGTTCGAAAACGAGACTCCACAGTTAATTAGAACTTTCCAAATTTTCCTAAACTAATCCAATTCAATTATTTATTTTGTTCACGCCAATTCAGTATTAAAACTATATGGAAAAACCTGATGCTTCTCGAAACAATTTTTTTTTTGTTAATTGTAAATTTTCGCAATAGATGTCCTTTGTGGGATTCGGATTCGCTATATACTTCCATGCAAACTCCGCAGGACGTTTCATTAAAGGAAAAGAGAGACGTTTCCGCTTCGATTGACACGCTTCATTAGCGGATACGACTCCTTTCATCTCCTTTTTTTTGTAAAGAAATATAGTTACATTCCTTTCCGTTTTGGATGCAATTGCGTTTAATTTGAATATTCCCTCGCGTTCATTCATATTTCTTAATAAAATTCTCGCTACTGTTGGCAATCTTATTACTGTCAAAATATGTAGGTTATGCAACCTCAGAATACGTCAATACAACTGTCATTAAAGTTAATTAGAGATTTGTTGCTATGGTTACAACAGCAACAAATATCGTTGTCATTAGAAACGTCAATTATTTTATAAATATAGAGAAACTAGTGTTATATGAGATGAGGAAGAAAAAAAATAAACGTAAAAAACGAAAAGTACTGAAGTTTGAAGCAACAAGTATATTTGGTTGCATAAATGTTAAAACTTTATTAAGACATACTTGACAAGTACTTGATAAGTTACTTGTATTCAAATCAGAATGTAAGGCCAGATATATATAAATTTGTCTTCGTAGATGAAATGTCGATTTCTCTTTAGGGTCAAAGGGCAAACATCAGCAAATCAAGGCTCGGTTCATATAACAGACACGTATTGAGAAGGTGACTGAATGTGGGAAAGAAAAGACTTGATGGTGTTTGAAATGTGTTTGAGAAAGACGAAGAAATGGGTCGTTTCTGCTTCGATCCTGCGAGAAGCAATAAAATCCGTGAAACGAATCCAGTTTACATGTGTCTGATTACACACACGAAATGAAACTACCCCCAGAGAGAATCGATGATCCGAAAGTAATCCATCCAAATTTTTTTTTTCAATAGTTTCAGCTTTGATTTTAATGTCAACTATCCTAACCTATATCAATTTGACATATCTAACCTTAAATTGATTTTTGACCTATCCTAACCTAATTTGAAATAAATCCGTTCGCACTGTGCGTGTTTCGCTTTTAATTGGTTTCGTTCGTTTGCAGTAACGTTTGCGCCCCCCATTCACCCCAGTTTTTCGTTGGGTTGCGCCCCTTCCGCCCCCGTACGAGGTGCAATAAAAATTGATTAATGCGCGGACCTCCCGGATTCGCGAACGCTGATTGGACGCAGCGCGGTAAATTACGGCCAACTGGATCCGATTACTTCGGGGTTTTATTGGTCCCCAGGCGGAATAAGTTTTGCGTGCAGAACGCCGCCGGCTTTCGCATCGGAATTTAATGGAATTTCAGCCTTTCGCCGAAGAAACTGGAATGTATTTATATGTTTGCAATTGGGATCGCTGAATGCTTCCGAAAATTTCCAGTTTAATTGAGTCTACAGTTGAGAGTCGAAAGTTTTTGGTCTCTGTGAAAACATCTAGAACGTCGTCGTCGCGAGGATATTGTTTTTCTCCCAGGAGGGATGTTGTTGATGATTATGATGACAGGGTTGGAATGGAAGGGGGGAAGAAGAAGAAGATCGATGATGCAAATGCGACGTCCCAGCGAAATTAATAATAACGTGGAGAGCGCACACCTCGTGGACTTTCTTAGAAACACCTTGACGTATTCGCATCATTTGTTTTCGGTAGTTTCATGAGGGCGCCACTATCGATTCTCATTACCAAACACTAACATCTCAATATTTGTCATTTGTTTAATATACAAAATAACCTCAATTTTTATCATATCATTCATATTTTAGAATCTGTCATGTGTCATGTAACAACGTCAAATTTCATTTATCACTTAATCCTCGATGCAGCACACTTGGATTTGCATATGCAAATTTTTGTTTTTTTGGGGGTATTGGTTGCTACGTTTCGCTGAATAAAACAACAAACAAAACAAACGAAACATGACGTTCCATTAAATTTAATTAAGCGTTTTACACTCGGCTCCGTCCAACTGTTACGGTGTTACGTTTATACTTTTGTTAATCCGTCCTATTCTACGGATTTGCATATCGATTCGTTCGCAAATCGCAGCTGTAAAACGGCACACAGTTAAATTTTTCTGCAATCTTTGCATTTTCTCTTCTCTTCTCTTTCCTCCTTTTCCTTGTGACAATGCAATCTTAGATAGAATCTTTCCTTATTTTCGTTTTGTGTGAATGCTTTTCTCAATTTCCTTTTCTGTTTTTTTATCTTAAAAACGTTCAGTTCTCTTCTTTGTTGAGATTAATTAAAAAAAATATATGAAAAGAAGTGATTGCGTAAAAATTAAAGATTTTTGGATTTATCACTGTTAAATTGTCTTAGTTCCTGTTTAATCGTATTAAATCTTGATGGGTGAACGAAGTGAGTCCTGAAAACAATTGAAGTATGATTACATTCTTACTTCAATTGTTCTCAGGACTCGCTTCGCTCGCCCATCGTTGTTTTCTGCTGTTTACATTGGAAAATTGTAAACTTTATACCTATTTTGTAGTTAATTAACGAATCGTTAATTTCTTCGTTAGTGACCAAATTTAAACATCTTTTTTTTTTGATGGGCGAACGAAGTGAGTCCTGAAAACAGTTGAAGTTTCAAGTAACATACAGACTTCATTTGTTCTCAGGACTCGCTTCGCTCGCCCATCGTTGACTTTTGTTATTTATTTTGAAAATTGATAATCTTTCAATTATGTTTTCAACTAATTGAACTAATATTTCATTTTCTTCTAATTCAAATTAAATTTTTATTTAACATTGATGGGCGAACGCAGTGAGTCCTGAAAACAATTGAAGTTTGAAGCAACAAGTATATTTGGTTGCATAATTGTTAAAACTTTATTAAGACATACTTGATAAGTTACTTGTATTCAAATCAGAATGTATATATATTTGTCTTCGTAGATGGAAAACACTTGTACATTTCAATAAAGAAACGTGTGATTCCTGCAATGTATGTGTTATTTCTGTGCGCCTTTGTA